GATTTAATTTTATTGATGACAGGATCCCAAGCTGATGGTCGGGAATTAAAATTAAAAATAAACGCGATAAATCCGTAAAATTTGTTTCATTTATAATGTGTAATCGCGTAAATACAAGAAATTATCACATAAATAATATTATATAAAAAATGATAAATATTTCAAATCACTCGTAAGTAATTTCATAACGAACACGTACAAAAGTTCGTGCACAGTAAAATTTAGGTATTTTTGTATGACTACTGGATTGTCAACACGTTCTGTTTTTTAAGGAATGGAATGGCATTTTTTTGGGAAAAAGCTTTGATTTTTATTTCAATAAACGATTATAATACCGATTTTGAACCTCCTGTGTAAATTTGGGCACTTCTCGAAAAATCTCCCTGTATATACATATACAAATCTTCTGTGCGTGTGTATGTCACTGAACTCCGCCTAAAGGGCTGGATCGATTTTGAACCGACTTCACAAAATGTAGACGTTTCTCAATTCGACCATATATGTTTTTTTAACGTGTGATTGCGGATAATTTCGTCGTTTATGAAACGATTTAGATGATTATTTGATTCGATTGTTGGAAAGGAGATATCCCAAGGATGTTACCATGATAAGGTACCCCGAATCTGATAACGGCATCGCAGAGAAATTGAGGGCAATCCTCAAATGTTATAGGTAGTAACAATGTTTTTCATATACTTTCTAAAGATATTAACACTCTCGTCTATGGTCATCTCATGACGCTGAGCTGATGAAGGAAGCTCTTGAACGGTTAGGAGTTAGGCGATTTCCTGTTATAGAACCTGGTATAGACTTATCGATATCGACAACTGATTTTTCTGGAGAAAACGCAGTGAGTGCTAACGCCTCAACGATTTAGAGCAATTTTCTGGACTTAATTAATTTCTATTTTTCCTTTATGTGAATAGTTGTCAAGCGGGCAGACGGTTCACCTGATGTTAAGAGATTACCGCCGCCCATGAACATCTACAACTCCTGATGGGTTGTGGATGCGTTGACAACCATTAAAATAAGTGGGCCCAGGCTACCTCACTCACCAGACAATTCTTTTGATGACAACTTTACACCCATATATGTTATAGGTACCATAACAGGTCTGATGATGGAGACCATAGACAGTTGGAATTCCTCAAAGATTTACAGCAGTTACCATTTGATGGACTTACTTCATACGGTTCAATATGTCAAAATGTTCAGTTCGTACAGAAATAATACCTAATTTTATACTAGATTAAAGTGTTACATAGGAAAATCACTACCTAGTAGGCATGCTGATGCGTCTATTTGGCACTGAATTTAAGTTGCGTAATCGCCTCATCTCTAGCAACGCTCTTTTGTCTTGTGGCCTACTCTATTAATTTTTTTCTTTTATCATTTGATTTTATTTTAATCTAAGCGTTTCCATCTATTATTGCCTGTCTCAAGTAGCCCTCGTTTCCTCGTCCGAGGAACATCCCATCACGAAAAATCGTAAAATAAAATAATATATGACAAAAAAAACGAATTCAAACAGGAAACTAAACAGTAAAAAATTAATTCACTAAGCACAAAGTAATTCGTATTTTGATTTAGTTACTCAGGAATAATTAAATAATTATTTTATAATTTTCACATCGGTGCCAAGTAATTACCACAAAAAACTTATTACAATAACACGTTACTAAGTGCACACAATATTATTAGATACAAGCTGTTAAACGCGGCTTCACCCGCGCGGTCAAAGGGAATCAGTTTTTGTTTTGAACAATCAGTTTTTTATTATACACCAGAACAGCTCGAAAATGGCAGATATTTTTTCCTTTTCACTTATCGTTACAGTTTGAGTAAATCGCGCAATATCTTTGTAAATTCAAGTCTATGTGTTATTCTAATGAATAAGCTATATTATTGTAAAGTTTTATTAAAATTTATTACGTAGTTTTTATCTAAAACAGTAACAAACATCCATCCATACATACAAACTTTCGCTTTTATAATATTAGTAAGGATGTCATAACAATAACAAACTAATAACAGTATTACAAGCATAGGTACCTACTTACTATCAAAGTATTTTTTTAGATACGCTATGAGTTTCCTGTTTGAAGTCGGTTTTTTTGTTAAAAATTGTTTTGACGAATATTTTTGTGTCTTCGGTTTCGGTGCACTACATTCATTTTTTCATTTTTTTTGTTTATAAATTGTTGTCGGATTTAAGTAGTGTGTACAGGCAGTGATAGCTCAGCGTCCGGGCGCTCAGCTTGAATTAATTAATTTACTCTAATTTAACTTATTTAATAGTAACTAATTTACTTTATTTAATTAATTTACCCGAACAACTTGAGTTCGATTCGCACCAAAGAAATTGTTTATTTTAAGTGCTGACTTATCACGTGCTCAGCGGTGAAGGAAAACATCGTCAGGAAACCTGCATGTTCTTGAAATAATAACAAAAAAATATTTCCAAAATATGTGAAGTCCGCCAATACGTACCTCGGATGCCTTTGCCCAGCAGTGGGACATTTATAGGCTGTTATTTTACTTTTTTACAGGAAAACGTCTGTCGTTCGTGTCACGTAATAATGTAAACCCGAACAATTTCTAAACGCCGCGCAGTATGAACATGCGTCATCTTTATTATCAGATCATTGGCTGCCAGTGGGTTTTAGGATGAATTTTTGGAGTCGGTGCCAATGTTCACAATGGGTAATGGTAATGGTTGTACACCATGACATCTTACTAAAAAAATAAAAAGAAGCTAACCAACAATGACTAGTGCGGTTATTTAATAAACAGTTTAAAAGATAGTAATATGTATTCAATTATTATTTGATCCACCTAAATTGTGTAACAAAGTTAAGAGAATCATTTTATGTTCAGACCAGAGATCCAGACCGACCCTAAATTTTGTTCGAGGTTATATAGTTTAAATTTTCATGATTTTATTATATTAAATTTAGTATTATTTTAAACGTTTTAGTGCTAATGAAGTTTTTTGAAGCCGTTTCTTTTTTTTGGTAATTTTTTTTATTTTGTTTATCAATGGTATTCCCCGAGTGAAATATACATTTTGATTTCTTTTCAACGTGGATTCGTGCGACCGTCATTATCTCAATTTCGCCCTAAAATCTTCGGCTCCGTGACTGCTACTTTAGAATTGAAAAAGAATAGAAACATCACAGAGTGGGTGGTCAATTTCCAAATATCCCATTTTTAAAGAGTTTCTTGCGACAAAAGCGGTGTGATCGGGTGCGTTGTTTCAGAGAAACAGGACACCACGTAACGTTTTGCCTCGTAACATCTCTTCTGCTTGTCTTTTTTTATGTGAAAAATTGCCAAGCGTGCAGAGGGTTCACCTGGTATTAAGTAAATACCGCCGCCCATAGACATCTGCTACACCCGAAGGTTACAGATGCGTTGACAACAGCGAAAGTATACTTCCACTTTACGCCGGTCTTCTGTGAGGTCGTGGTACTCACCAGGATGGGCCTCCCCATTCGTGCAACAGCCGAAGCTGCTGCGTGGCCCTACCACCCTAAAAATTCTTTATTCTTTTTGCTTTATCTGCCGCCTTTCGCGTTCGTAAAATACAACCTCAATCAAATTAAATTCAAAGTCAATCAAGATCAAATTAAAAGAGAACTTATTTCAAGGCATATTATACCATTGCGGAATAACTTGACGACGCCATGGTGGGGTTAATACTGTGGATACTCACGTAGGCTAAAGTAAGATTTATACCTATCCTATCATATTGTAAACTAATCATTTTAAAAAAGAGCAACTGTTGAGTTTCTTGCCAACAAGCTTGCAGAAAGTTCACCTGGTATTAAGTAAATACCGCCGCCCATAGACATCTGCTACACCCGAAGGTTACAGATGCGTTGACAACAGCGAAAGTATACTTCCACTTTACGCCGGTCTTCTGTGAGGTCGTGGTACTTACCCGGACGGGCCTGCCCATTAGTGCAACAGCCGAGGCTGCTGCGTGGCTCTACAACCGTTATTAACTGTGGTAGGGCCTGCCCATTCGTGCAACAGCCGAGGCTGCTGCGTGGCTCTACCACCGTTATTAACTGTGGTAGGGCCTGGCAATAGTGTTCGCCGTTACACGAGCGGGCAGGTCTGTCCGGGTAGTACCACGACCTCACAGAAGACCGGCGCGAAGTGAAAGTCTCATAGTTCTGCGTTTCGTCTGGTCAGTGAGGTAGCCGGGGCCCACTTTATTGAAAGGCGGCAGCGCCTTTGCGACCGTACGGGTGTTGCAGATGTCCATGGGCGGTGGTTATCACTTAACATCAGGTGAACCGCCGACTCGTTTCATTTTCATTTTACACGTAAGCTCTGGAACGAACCGGGCATTGCAAATAAAAACACTCAGTAATTTTTATAAAAAAGAAATGAGAGATGGATGGATATTATGTAAAGAAACGTGCGCCTCATTTATCTCTTCGTACAATTAAGAAATTAGTTATGTTTTGTGTCAACAAAATCAAATGGTTTATTGAAAATAAAATGTATGTACCGGGACTTATCAATGTCGAGTTATTTTCATATTTCTGTTTCCTTTTTCATGTTTTTATCTTTACCCGATTTTATAATAAATTGCTAATGCGTTGTGCTTTTAAGAAAATGAATAAAATATATATAAAATTATCTCCGAAAACGTCTAGCAGATAAGAACTTATAAGTCGCGAAAATGATTTTTGCACAAGCAAATTGATAAATACCCATAAGTGTCGAAATAAGACTTGAATATTTGTAGTGATGCGCTTAGATTAAAAATAGAATTAGGCAAAATCCGCGTTATGTTACGCGTACGACAAAATATTAATTCCGCTGTGTGTATAATGGAAAAGTGCACACGCTAAAATGAGTCGCAATATCTGCGTAATTTACGCGGCTTCCTGGCGAGTGAGGTAACCGGCACCGAGACGACGTCGCGGCTGGACAGCTTGTTTCTTGCCAACACCATCAAGCCCCGTTCATGCTACTGGCGGTGCATGGCTACCATAGGTATAAAGCCGACGGCCGCACCACGCTACCACTCGGAAGGCGTGAGTAATATATGCTGGGACCCACACCGCTGCCAGTTTACGTTGCGTCCGACCAATGACCCAAACACGGTGAAAGCAAGCGCCTCTACACTTTCACCGGCAAATGGAGCTCGTGTGCTCGAACTTCACTCTGTAACCGGCCATTTGTGGGCAGAACTCGGCCGCAGGCCCCTGGGTCTTGCGTCACTTCGGCCAAGGAACTTTCTCACTTTGCCCTCACTTTAGGATAACATTATTATGTGTTGTAAGGACGTTTTTACAAACATAAATGACACGCGGACAAACACCCAGATGCGAAACAACTATCTGTGGGTCGCAAAAATAGTTGTCCCGTGCGGGAATCGAACCCACGAACCCCATCGTCGAAGCCAATACCTTGGCCACTGCGCCACGGAGTCATCAAACAAGCTTAGCGCAACAACCCATGGTCTTTAAAAAACCTAAAAAGCCCGACTGCGTTTCTGTGTGATTAGCAAATGATTTTGATGTACCCAGTGTCTCTCTCACAGTAAATACGCATCCAACGACACCTCTCAAGCTAAAATCTATCAAGCCGTTCAGGCTGCAGAGCGTTAAAAAAAGTTATACATACATACTCTCGAAAAACATATCATTCCTTCTGGCGCAGTCGGGTAAAAGCCATTCGTATCTCGATACGATTATTTCGGAGCTCTGCTGTTAAAATGTTGTTAAATGTTTAAGTTATAAAATCAACATACGCCCTGTAACCAACGCGGTATTATCGAGTTGTTGCTAGTTTCTAATAAACACCGAACCGGTTTTGACTTAGTGCGTTGCTTGTCTGCCAAGTGTTTATATTCAACTCGGTAGGCTATTTACTGTGAATGCACAAATTTATTTGGCTTTTCCGATATCTTCGCGGGGCTTGAAGCGTCCCGTGGCGGTCAACCGAAGTACGTACTTATCCTCTCGTTTGACCTTCTCACCGAAATTCCGAAGCAGCGCCTTTTATGGTGGTCAAAGGCTGCGTTAAACCCGTTCGACCCCACTTTCGCTTTTCTCACTTTATGATGGACCAAGCTAACAGACGAGGCCTGTCTATATACTGTACGTCATATACTGTGATGTTCACGCTTGAATGAAGTGTCAATCGACGCAAAACTATTTTGAATGAAGTGTCAATCGACGCAAAACTATTTTGACTTAGACCTTGGCTTTGAATATTTTGGAAGGCTTTAAAAATTTTACGAGAGAGTCGAACTTTGATGTAATCCTAATACGAACATCTTTTTAGCCGACTTAAAAAAAAGGAGGTTTCTAAATTCAACCGTATATTTTGAAGTCGTTAAAATTATTTACATTTACATTGGTCTTATTTACACCTTATGTCTGCGGGAGGGGCACGCAACAGTCTTCGCTGTTGCAGGAATGGGCAGGTCCGTCTGGGGAAGAACCACGACTTCACAGGAGACTGGCGTTAAGTGGAAGTGTTATACTTTTGCGTTTTGATGAGAGAGTTTGTCGGTGAGAGAATTTATAAACCTTCAGCAAAACAAAGCTTGCCGAGTCAGCTAGTCTAATATATAATTTTTTTGTGTTACAGTGTTTATACTCCATCAAAACTGCTTGGCCGTTTTTGATGAAATTTTGTGTGTATATTCAGTAGGTATGAAAATACATTTATAACATTTTTTTTTTATTTTTTCTATCTTACAGATAATTTTTATGGCAAAACAACGTTTTCCGGATCAAACATCTAGTTTCTTACGCTTTCATCACGCCAAAACTACTCAACTGAGTATCGTGAAACTTTGTACACATATTTACAGACGTATTAAAAAGGACATATAATTCTTTTATGAAAATTTAAATTAAAAAAATCATATTTAAAGAAAAGAAAAAACCGTGTTGAACACAGGATAAAGGCCACACCCGCGTATCAAATGAAAAAAAAAATATGAAGAAATGGTTAATATTTATTAATATATATATGTAGTATTATAATACTAACCCCTACACTAGGCGCAGCCTGCCCTATGAGGGAATTTAATGATAAACGCTATTTGAACCACTTAGAATAACAAAAAGAATTAAAACAAAATCTAAAAAGGGTTAAACATAATTATATATTATGTATTTATATAAAAAGTATGTGATAATAATGACAATAACATTAGTGATGAATAGTTATAAACGAATATGTGTATGTGCATGTGTGTGTTTTTGTGTTACGTGTGCGTATGCGTGTGTGCGAGTGTACAGGCGGGCGCACGTTTGTGTGTGTATGTGTGTCTGTGGATAATAAATTCACTTTTCGATATTAAAATTGCCAATGATAAATAAAATCTCATTTTACAACTTTAATAAAACTCTCGGATTTTTCATAACTCCAGTTTTCGAGCGTGGTTTTCACTAGTTTTCTCAATTACCGAATAGAGCTGTATTTATAATCGCAATATAAAAAATAGGATAATCGGGTCGTCATTCGAGTATCGGGTTCTCCCAGAATCAATGCCATTTGTCTTCTCTGATATATGCCCGGTTCCTATATTCAACGAACGGCCGTTAGTTATATAGCTTCGTAACTTTCATAACTACTTATAGATCGCTAGTAACTCACTTTCCGTAGGTAATGCAACGGCTCGTAAGGAAAACGCCCCGTTTTGTTAATAGGAACCGGGCGTCCACGCCTTGTATCTACAATTCGTTATGAAAGTTACGAAGCTATTCAACTAACGGCCGTTCGTTGAATATAGGAACCGGGCAATATACGTACATCTATCGTTAACGCACACAGTTTGTGTGACCCGAAGATCGTTATTTTGTATCTGGCTGTTTGTCCACGTGAAATTTATGTACGTAAAACGTCCTTAAGACACCTGATAATTTTGTCTCACACACGTACTACAGTATTAAGGGGCAATGTTTAAAAAAAACTAACTGAAAGATCAAGCCAGTAGACTCACGCCGTGAGCGCACGTAAAAAATCGGATAAAGATAATAATCTTTATGGTCAGAGATAACAGAGCCGCTCGCTGTAAGGGTAATTATTACGTTTTTTATTGACGTTGTAATCTATGACTCCACGGTACCGATTATACATTTTTTTCTCTAATGAAAATCTATATTAATTCTTTAATTAGGTATACGTATTTATTTATTTAAAAACATTTTGAACGATACAGCGTACAATGATGGACTTAACGCTATTAGGTGTTCTCTACCAGTCACAACCAATGATATACGTATACGTATATAATAATAATAATAATTCTTTATTTGCCATAACCAAAAAAAAAAAAAGAAAAATACACAGAAAAAATATGAACAAAAAAAAAAAGATATAAAATAAACCTATATATAATACACAAAAATATATAAATTTCATTTTGGCAAAAAGGTAATAAGCTCAGCGATTTCTAAGAATTTCTCAGTGCTGATTTTCGGCTTATCCCTTCTTAAAACTTATTACCTACGTCACACTACATACACTTGTGTTATAAAATATGCCAAATTAAATTTTGTAAAGCTTATATTTCTCCATTAGTAACACTGGACCAGTTCAGAACGAACCGATTAAAACCTGTCGTCGTATGTTCAATTTGAAATTAAATACCGTTGTAAATCGATAACTTCTATCTACTCTCTTGTGTGATTATCTAATTCTTGTATGTATGCATGCTTTGTACGTGTTAAATTACAATAATGTAATTTCTACTGACAAACGCAAATCCGCAGTTCACTATGCCCTCTGTACAGAAGAGGCCGTTGTCAAGCGGCGGGGCAAACATATACAGGCTGTTGCTTCACTTAATTTATAGAGAACAAAATGGCCGCCGGGGCGTCGGCTCATACTGCGCAGTTACGTGACCTTTTGTCCTCTGGATGTGCCGGCGGGCGTCTGGCTTGGCCCGAGATCGATAGCAGACATGAGCTGCGCGCACAGGGACGACGCAGCTTCCCACCCCATCCCAACTAGGGCCGCCACCTTGGCGCGAATGTTAATCCTCCAAATAGGGTGCGACGTTGGTAACGAGGGTGGACGTGTTGCTAGGCGACCGGCGAGGGTGCCTCTTCAACCCCAGTCGACATCCCACCCTGAAAATCAATACCGCACCAGGTGAACGAATAGTATTTAATATATTTAAACTATTAATTCGTACTAGCTCCTTCGAGACAGTTTAGCGCGGAATAATGAAAGTACAGTAACAGGTTATGTACAACCGATTTACACAGTATTAGGGCATAGTCCAACACGCGACCACACCGTGGACAAACAGGCTTTTTTTTGTCTGGTTCACAAACTGAATGATAAATTTAGTACAAACCATTATACTAAAAGTAGTAAATATATACAAACACATACGTGCACATTCTACAAAAGTCTTGTATCTTGTATTAACTGATGTTTTTGCTTTCAGTCCCGAGACTATTAAAGCTTCATCTGACGCAGAACCGGTGGGCTAGCCAGAACCCACGGGTTTGGGCATCTACAAAAGTGAACATAGCATTCTAGAAAACATCTTTAACACTTGATTTTACGCTATGGTATACACAGACCACAGACCACACTTATCTTCTAAAAAATCACTTGATAAATGAGCAATTAAAATTGTAATTGACAATTTTATAATTTCTTTGGTGCCAGCTTCGGCCATTTCAATTCTCAATTCAATTCAGGTTGAAATTGAATCAAATGCGAGTGCCCGGACATTGAGCTATCACGGATAGATGAATCTTAGCTAAGATAAGATAATCATCTATTTGCTTTTTTCTTATCACAAGATGTGTTACAAATCATTAATATTGAACTACATTTCAACCTAATTTATAAATAGCAAGAAATAAATATTTTAAATTACTTTACTATTTATACAAAGTTGATGAAATTCAGTTATAATCAATTCTCAATTAAATGTCGCAATTTTTTGAATGATGAAAGAACAATAAAATATTATTTATAATAATATCAAGTATAATCTATATATATATATATAAATTGATTGCTGTTCGTTAGTCTCGCTAAAACTCGAGAACGGCTGGATCGATTTGGCTAATTTTGGTTTTGAAATATTTGTGGCAGTCCAGGGAAGGTCAACTGTGTTTGTGTCACCTGTCAAACACCTTATGCTTGCGTTCCGATTCCTCTATAAATAATTTATATGGCAAAACAACAAAACTTGATAAAATTTTCGAAAAACTTATTCTTGATCAGCTGTTAAGACATTTTAATTTAAACAAATTATTACACAGGTAACTACAATATCACATTAGTTACATTGATCTACATTCAAATAATAATAGATAGCTACAATTATTACACTCCAGCTTCTTCAACATTACCAACCCTCCTTCTAATATATATTAAATCAGTATTTTTGGTTATCTTTAATCTGTCACTAAATAATAAAATTTGTTTCCTAGTAAACTAAAACTATCCCGCTTTTAAAAAGAAAAAAGTCGAGATGTTTTTTTTATGTGAAAATTGTTTTATGCATTTGATTTTTAGCGCCCCTTGATACCCCGGCCATTGCCGGTCGATTTCAATATTTTATATACAAACTTTGTTTTGCCATATAAATTATTTATAGGGAATTTGTGGCCTTGAAAAAAATGTTTGAGGTTGACCACCACTTACGGGTATAAAAAAAGGATTACGACCAATTCTCAGGCCTACATGCAGGGGTGATTTTTTAGACAAAATCTTAATTGAGAATTCTATAATTAAAAAAAAAATATTAACATTTTATTTTGACGAGAACTAATCAGCAAAATATCTATTCAAACATTGTTTATTTGTACCATTAAGAGTGGTCACTCTATTAATAAGCGGATTAGTACTTATGCGTTCAGCGAAAAGTTTTAGTGTTCGTCAATAGGTTATTAATTGTATTAAGACGGTAAGGCAGGAATTTCTTGAGGTGTCCATAATGCTTGAAAAAATTCAAAATAATCTTTGAAAAAAAAAATATAAGGTCACAAGTACCGTACTAGATTCAGATTTAGAATCAAATTCCGCAAATGATCGGTTAATATGCCCGTCGTCTATAAAATCATTGTGGTATAACATTTGATAAAAATCAAGCCGTTTCGGAGGAGTATGGCAACTAACCAACCAATTGTGATACCGGAATTTTTTATAATACTAGCTGACCCGGCAAACGTGGTTTTGCCATATAAATTAAAAAATGTTTTGGGGTGGACCACTCTTAACATTTAGGGGGATGAAAAATAGATGTTGTCCGATTCTCCATCCTGGCCGATATGCACACAAAATTTCACGATAATCTTTCGAGCCGTTTCGGAGGAGTTCAATTACAAACACCGTGACACAAGAATTTTATATATTAGACTAGCTGCTGCCCGCGACTACGTCTGCGTAGAGGGGTGAAAATTTAGTGTTGTATTTAAATTTAATGTAATGTATTTTCGTATGCTGTGTCATAAAAAAATAAAAACAAAAAATTTTGCCTAAAAAATAAAAAAAAAAAATTAGGGGTGGACTACCCTTAACATTCAGGGGGATGAAAAATAGATGTTAGCCGATTCTCCACCCTGGCCGACAATCACGCTAAGGATCACAAAAATCGGTCGAGCCGTTTCGGAGGAGTTCAAGTTCGAACCCCGTGACACGAGAATTTTATATATTAAGATAGATTTGGTTATTGGAGATAGAATTTTGACGTACGTATTATGGAGCTTATTAGCTCGATAATACTTGATATTTCAAATACTTATCTATGGCTAGTAACCAAATCAGTAGATGGAATAGTGAGACCGGCCCTAAAGCTATCGCTCGTCTTCAGATGAAGCTACTATTTTGTGAGAGATAAGTTCGTAAAAACTTCACAATCAAACCTCGACGGACTTAGCAGTTTTGACTCTGAGATTGACTTTATTATCGCATCTCGTTGGAACTCTTTCATAACTTCGTTTTCGTTATTAGCTTATGTTCTACGACACAAAACTTTGCAACGTTTTGTTCATCACCAAGTGAAATCTAAGTGAAAAGGGACTATTAATTTAAAGTTTGCGAAGTAATATAAACGGCAATTTGCTATGTAAAGTGCACTTTATATTGAAGATAATATGGTCATGCTTCATTTATCAATATTCTATGTTAAAGATGTTATGCTACAGCGAAACGACCTTGTCGGGTATAAGCAATGGACTCTGCCTAGAGATCATCAAAAGAAGTTTTTTTGTACTAGAACTACATTTTGTTATGCCAGTGTTATTCCTATTTTCACCCATCATCACGTATTTATTTAATGGTGAAGAAACTGTTCACCGATAGAGATGATAAAACATCAGCAATGTTATCTTCGCTCTAAACAAATACACTTATTACATTACAAACGAAAAACACGTTTAATAACGCCTAGCAACCGAACACGGGCGAGACGTCGATCGATAGTACGCGCAGGCGCGTTCTAGATCGTTCCGCGCCTTTGTTCGTAGCGCCATACCTAGGCGAATGTATTAATATCGGAGGGGTGGGCGCCCCAGCCTGGGGGTAAGGGTGGCGGCGGCTCCGGGGTGGGTATCAGCCCGGCAGCTGCGTTGCCGTACCCTTTGAGCGCATCCCACCCGAATTCGGATTTCGAAACCTCGTAACTACATCTACATGCATGCCCGTTAATTGAAACGGACACTAACAAAAGATCGCATATTCCCCGTAAAGTTTTGGGAGCCGGCAGGGGGGAAATTTAAGGTTTCCTTTGTACTGCACAAAGGACGAGCCGAATTGAAAAAATCATAATCCTTTTTATTGTCGATTGCTATAGTACTATAAACATAAGGGTAATGCTCGACCAGATGAAAGTACCCTACACAAGATAAAAGCGGTGCTACATAATAGCGAAAGAATTGCCATAAAGTATAATACACGGATTTAAATTTGATTTGGTCACTTAGGCTGATAGGAAAAATATCAATAGGTATATTAAATGAAACTAGTTTACGGATTTTATATATATATATACATATATATATATATATATACACACACATATATATATATATATATTGCATTTTAGACATACTTAATTATTTATAAATAAAATCGTGTTACATTGTGATTGCAAAAGAAAAATAATGCTAAATGTTCTTTAACGTTCCATATATAACATAAAGTACTCGCCAAGACGAATCAAACGAGCTGAAACTCGACGGGGTTGCGTCGTTTCATTGCAGAGTTCCTTTGATCATCTTCCGGACCACCTCCATCATCAGACCCTCGTCACCCTTTAAAGACAAACTGCTCGTTAAGACGATTCGAATGAACACAAACTCGATGAGGTTGTGTCGTTTCATCGCGAAGTTGCTTTGGCCACCTATCGGCTCCATCATCAGATCAGCAGCATGCCATCATAATATTGCATCGTCACGCGATTTACACATGTGTGCGAAATTTCAGCGCGATCGGTAAACGAGAAGTGATACTGAAGAGAAGTGATTTGCTAGATTTGATGACAAACGTCGGGACAGGTGAAACTAAATAAAAGCTTGTAAAATCATTTCCAGTTCCTTAATTTGGGTAAAAAATTTTCAGTCATTGCAGTGACTTAGTCATTTCTTGGATTGATTATAACACGTTCAAATAACTGGAAAGTTCCCCCAAATCAGTATTTGGGGAATTTCAAATCAGGTGAACCGCCAGTTCGTTTGCCACCTTCTCACATAAGATAAAAAGGTACCTGGAGGACCGACCTTTGCTCGGGTTTTTTTTCTGGTAAATCATGTATTTTGGAAATAAAAAATAAAGAAAATGATCTGGTATAGAAAAAAAAAGTAAAAAAATAAGTGTGTAAATGATCGTGATACGAACCGCGGCCGTCTGTTTTGGGTCCGCCCGATTACCGACCGAGCTATTATGAATTTTTTTTGCGGCGAAATTTATTGTCACATTCGAATGATATTTGTCATTCTCTGAAAACAGGGATAAAAGGACATTTTTTAAAAATGAAACCTAGCTATAATAAAAATCCATTTTTCGCCCCCGAATCTACGATAAAGGATAAGATAAAGCAACAGTGACGGTCCGACCGTGATGTCTGTATGTCTTGTAATGTTCTGTCGGCGGCCGCCCATTGGGGCAGTTCAGTTGAAATTCAGTCTC